CTCCTCTACTATGCTGAAGCAAACAATAGGGGCCTCTATTTTCGTTCATCAGTGAGATGAAACAAGTCCTGGGTAGTGACATGTGTTCTCAGTTGCTGTTTATCCACGCTTTCACAGGATGTGACACAACTTCCCGCATTTTCAGTGTTGGCAAAAAGTCAGCGTTCCAGAAACTTGTGAATGGTGAATTGACCATTCAGACCTGTGCGAATGCGTTTCTGCTCCGAAATCAAGCAAACAGTGTCATAGAGGACCTTGGGAGCAAGGCGATGGCAGTTCTGTTTGGTGGCAAGAGTACCGATTCACTTGCCTCTTTGAGCTACAACCTTTTGTTCAAGAAAATTGTCTCCGCCAAGTCATTTGTTACCCCAGAACGTCTCCCTCCTACCACGTCCTCGACTAACTATCATAGCTTTAGAGTGTATTACCAGATCATGGTGTGGACTGGAAAGGAGAGTGACATGAATGCAGTGGATTGGGGATGGAAACTGGAGGACAATCAGTTTGTGCCAGTTATGACCAAGAAAACTGCTGTGCCAGAAAGCCTCCTGCAGATGGTCCACTGTAAATGCACAACTGCCTGCCGAACACGTTGTAGTAACAGAGGATACGGACTACCATGCACACCCGTTTGTGGACCATGTCAAATTGAAAACTGTGAGAATCCACATAATAACATTTACAGGAGGAAGAGTGTGACTATGACTATTTGTAAACCTGGTTCAGATCAAAGGCATTTTTCAGAACTATATATTATGGGATTTGTTATAACTTTTTACCAGTAATCACTACACTATGTTAAATATGCTAATTGGTTTCCTAGATGCCCAAAACAAGGGGTCAAGCACCAGAATTACCTGTCTAGGATGAATAATGATGGAGTCATTGGCATTTTCATAGTTCGGTGGCTATAATTGTCCGCCATCTTGGATTTTGTAATTCTGTAATCACTTCACTATTATTTTAAATATGCTAACTGGATTCCTAGATCCCCAAAACATGGGGTTAGACAGCGAAATTACTTGTCTAAGATGAATAATTAAGGAGTAACAGGGCATTTTAGGATCTGGTGGCTAACTTCGACGCCATCTTGAAAATTAGACCTTTCTCGTGGTCAGACTGTGGTAGACTATTGATATGTTATTAAGCACACCTGATACTACAATAAACAGTTGAGAAACCTTTTGTAGGAATTTTTGGGGGGTCAAACCATATTTACAGCCGACTAATAGGGAGTGTATTAATTTAAGAGTGAGTTATTACTATATTATTGTGTACTGTATGTGTGAATTCCTTAACACCCCCCCCCCTCTCTAACACTCACATCACACCCCCAGGTACTATGCCATAGTGTATCCTATGAGGGCACAATACCGCTGCACCATCTCTCAGGCCCGACGACTGTGTCTAGGTATCTGGGTCCTCTCCCTCGTCTTGGCCAGCCCCATCACCCTTATGCAGGTGAGTGCCCATCCAGAATAACAGAAAACCACAATAAATTAGCATTAATTAATAATATTAAGTACAGAAGAGAAGTACTGTACAGTATAGGGTTAAGTGCAAATGACAAGTAATTTAGGAACTCCAAAGTAACGAGACAAGGACCCTACTGGAAACAACATATAATGATTTTGCAGGTTATCCTTGTTTGGATTGCCATATTGTTTACCAATGTTTGTATACCCACACTGTTCTAGGTATTGTAGTACATTGGTTGTATGTCTGCATGGTCTATGTACTGTGCATTACACTGTACAGTATACCTCTGTTGTCTATATATTTGCTGAAACAATTGTAAACTTGTATGGCGATTTTACTGAATAAAAATCTATTTATCAATCTACTGTATCTATGGCAGTCACTACAAGTACTTACCAAAATTAGAACATTATTAAGCCAGGCTTCATAGGTTTTTGTCGCCTGAAACATAAAAAGAATTTCTGTATTCCTGAATATACAATATTTAGCAAAGGCCAATTTGCAAATTATAGTTCAGTGTACTTTCTTTTAAAGCATTCAACTCTCTTTCAGTTCTCAACTCACCCTTCCTGACTCTTACCTCTCTTCCTTCATCTCACAGGTGAACATAAAGGTGGAACAGTAGATGAGAGCATTCAGGAGTGTGTTTGTGGGGAAAGGTTCAACTCTCTACCTCATACCTTTCCATCATTGACTCTCACCTCTCCCTCATTGACTCTCACCCCTTTCTCCATCCCTCCTTCCCTCTCATCCTCTGTACCTCTCACCTCTCTGTTCATCTCACTCACCTGTAATCTCCCTGACACTCACAGGTACACATGGAGGTGGGGGACCGGGTGAAAGCGTTCTGGTGCGTGAGGGACTTCGACTCGCCGCTGCTGTGGAGAAGCTACGAGACCTACATGATGGTGCTGGTGCTGGTGGTGCCTGCCTGTATCATGGCCGTCGCTTACGCCGCCATCAGTAATGCCATTATCAATATGATGGTGCAGCGGCGCTCCATCACGGGCAAAGGACAGATGTGAGTAGTGGCGAATATTAGCTGTGGTTGTCTGTGTAATGATGTCTTTTTGTTGCGTGTAGCTTTTGTCCTCGAGGTTATTCAATAGTTGTTTTCCTTTTGTGTGTGTTTGTGTGTGTGTGTGTGTTTTGAGAGTTTGCCATGGTGCCATCTTGTTACCACTGACTGTATCACATCTACAAGTTTTTAACTAATTTGTCCTTTTAGTTCTGTCAGTAATATCCTTATGTACTTACAGTTATAACCTGCAGGACGCTCCTCCATCCTAATTGGTCTTCTCCTCATTACTATCTAATTACCAGAGAATTCCTTAATCATTGGCCAGACAAGAAACACCTTAGGAGTTCATACTTGTTTCCACTATATAAAGATTGATAAGGTAACAGAACGCAGGTGTTAGGTTATGTAATTATAATCTACTGCGAGAATTAAAATATACATAGGGCACATAAGAATAGTCTAAATATATACATGTCACAAATTAAACACTTTGAACACTCCTGTCTATGTAAGAGCAATAATAAAGCCTTACACCTCTCACCTCTACAGCTAACCTAGGAAGATAAAGTCAAACCTTGCCAGCAATAACCACCAGACACCTAGACAAGTGGAGAGCGAATGTCCCGGCCTCAATGCTACCTGTGTAACAATTTCTAATCGCCCCCTTATAGATTACCCCCCCCCCCTCGGTAATTTGAACCTAGTTTCAGAGTACCAGGGGTATATTCTAACCAGGTTTGATATACCCCTGGGGTAATAAAAACTTATGTTCAAACTACCTCCTTTTTCAATTAAATGTCAATATTTATTCCGTGATGGAGGAAGCGGGGTCCTAGTTCTGTCACTCGGTACTCCTGTACAGTAACACCAGAAGCAACTGGCAAGTGTCACAAGTATATATAAATATTATAAAGGTGCTAACTAAAGCCTAAGGAAGGAAGGATATTTATTCAACACATCATCTATATGATTTACATAATATCTGGCCAGGATGGGGAGGATCATCTTGTCTCCGTCAGGGAGTCGTGGAGTGGTGGATCCTGTCGAGAAAGCAGACCTGGAATCGGCAGACAAGCAAGGCAGAAACCACCGGCTTCTTCCTCAAAGGAGAAGGGCAGCAAGTGAGGGCTATTTGTTCATCCTGAGAGTGAGGATGCCAACAGAAACTCTGAAAGAGAGTTTGATAGGCCGAGGCCTCAGGATGAGATGGCACCAGCCCAGGCACTACCTGCAGCAGGGTCACCCAGAGCCATCAATGAGGACGACCCTACCTGGGGACCACAGTGGGGCGATCCCGGAGAGGCAGTATCAAGAGGAGGAATAACAGGGTTCACCTGGGATTTTGGAGCGTCCAATGAGGCAACTAAATTTCAGGTTGAAAATTCAGACAGGGAAGGAGACAAACCAACAACAGGTGACAAATAATGATTGTGCAGGAGGTCAGTTCCCCTAAGGCCTTGATGAGTGACCTCGCCACTGTCTTCTAGATGAGGTCGGCCTGGACAGCAGGAGCCGCTGGGCTTGACATAGCTGCCCCTGAGGATCGCAGAATGGAAACGGTAGTTTTAGGAAAACTCCTGGACACGATCCTGTAGGGGGAAAGACCGTTCGGTATATAGAGAAGTACGGTCCACTGAGGGGCCCTGGCGATGATATGAGCAGCTTTCCTGGATAATTTCGAGACGGTTAGCTGCACTTACCTAATGTTGACGAGGTAGGGGCGGGGTGAAGGACACAGGAACGGACAAAAGACTTAAATGTGGCGAAGGCCAGGATGGTGGCACCAAGGAACCCCGCACATGGTAGAGGAGGACAGACGCTGAAAGCATATGTCTGAAGATATGACTCAGGACCTGACAACGCAAGTGAAAGGTTACTAGCCACACACAGGTATTTTGTCTCATTAACCCAGTCCAAGGGCGTTCCTGATAAGAGAAGGGGAGGCACACACGACTGCGCCACATGGCTTTGTTTTCGCAGCTGAAAGGAGGAAACCAAGTGAATCACACTCTCTGAGCACCCAGACTGCGCCTGCATGCTGAGGTAGTCATGGGCTTGGAGGAGGACATCGCTTCGAGACATCCTGAGGACAACTTGTCGGCCACGGGAGAGATGCAATGGAGTGCAGAGAGCAGCAACAAGGGACTCCAGGACTCCACCTTGAGGAGTGCTGGGTTCATTTTCATCAGGAGATATAAAGCCTAACGCCAACCCAACAGCCTGACGTCCGTGGCAAGAGGCGATCCATCAGAGAAGTCTCCCTAACCCAAATCGCGCAAGTTCATCTGCAAATGAGGGCAGCTGAGCTGAACCAAAGGCCCTTTGATATCAAAGACACGGAGATGTGGGCAGTCTGATTGCAATAAAAGGAAGCAATGGAGGCTGTGCTGTGGATGTTGTATGAAACCGTTGAGGAGTTGTAGCCGCATATGATGAAGAAGTCGACGATGGAGTATCCTCTCCATCATCTTGCAAACTCAGGAGGTAAGACTAATGGGTCGATATTCAGATCTCCCGCTTAGGGCTGGGATAATAGGCAGTATTTTTCCAGTTAGACGGGAGAACCCCAGTTCACGACATATTGTAGAGAGCGCAGCAAGGCCGTTAGGAATATTAGTAACAGGCGCGAGGACGGAGAAGCTATCTGATCATCCCCAGGAGAGGGTGTCTTTCTAGAGCGACGAGCACCGTCAAGCCTTGAACTGTGTGATGGGATGATCAGTGGGGGGTAGGGAGGTAAGAGCAAAGCACGAACAACAGGCTCAGATGCATTGATGAAAAGTCTGCACTGGCTCTCCTGCATTGGATCTGGAAGTTTCAGGAGGCCGCCCAGTCCTCCATTAAAGATATATATGGAGGGCGGGGCTGGGAGGAGTGAGGCCCGTCGAGTACCCCGTATAGCATTAATCCGATTCCAGGCATAGGGACGATGACGACTGGAACGATAGAGACTCCGTGGAAGGATAGCCTGCTCCTGCCTTGTCCGACCTACGCCCTGAGTTACAAAGAGCACCAGTTTAGAAGTCTTCCCAGTCCTCTAGAGAGAGCAAGACCTCCAGATGGCAGAGTGGAGATCACGGGTTACCTGCCGGAGATGTCTTGCGGCAGAGTGGAGATCACGGGGTTACCTGCCGGAGATGTCTCATGGCAGAGTGAGATCACGGGGTTACCTGCCGGAGATGTCTCCACAGAGACATGATACCAGTAGTTGTGCACTCCTGGGATGACAGGGAGGCGTGGAGGGGCAGCGCGATTGACAGAGCCGCGCACAGTATCAAAAATCGGCGCTTAAGAGTCAAGGGACCGGGGGGCACATAGAATCCCGCCCAGGTAGAAAGGTATTTGGTAAAGGAAGGAACAGCATCTTGTGGAGACGGCTATGAGGACTGATAAGGAGCTGGGTGTAGGGGTGAGAATGTGAGCCCGAGATGGGTAGCAACGGCAAGATGGTCACTATATATGAGCAGGGCCTGCAGATTGTAGGATGAAAGGAGGCAGGACCGTTCAATACTAAGTCAACATCAAGAAACTATGGGAGGCGAGGATCAGTCAGGACAAAGAAGAAACATCATCATCCCATGAAACTGTGAGAGACAGATCTGGTTATGGGCATATGGCGGGATGATCTGGAGGAAGAGTGTAGGATTAAGGGTACAAGTCGCCAAGAACACAGGAACCCCATCAGGGAGGTCGAACAATTTGGGGTCCAGAGAATCACTCTGAAGAACATTGACTCACAACGGGGTCCGTCACCAAGAGTAAGGAGACAGAGGCAATCTGACGCAGTCCATGGAGCTGTGTGAAGGGAGACGAACAGATGGAGGGTGTTACGCACAAGGGTGAGAGGCCAGCGTGCCCACGTACCGAGGCAGGTGTAGCCAGTATACAGAGAGGCGGAGGGGAGGCCATCGTTCGTGATGTTTCATGGTATAACATCTACTTGACGGGAGAGTACAAACTGGACGAGTTCTGTCTGGCGAGGTTCAATCAAATGGCTGTAAGAAGAGGAGGGTACAGGCCTCCGTGTGAGATGAAGAGCTGGTGGGAGACAGGCCCGATATTGAGACGGATGGATCCTCCATCTTGGTAGAAGGAAGGAGGCGGTCACCAGGGATTGCAAAGTGCGCCCTGTTGGGTCATCAGGTGTCCAGAATGAGTTGTTAAGTGCCTCTGCAGTTAAAAAATTGTTCCACAAATGAAGGAGCTGGGGCAGAAAGAAGGTTGATTTTGCTTGGAGTGCACATCCAGATGGAGGAGTGAGATTGCTCGCGAGAACCAACGTGGTGACTCCGTGCAGGAGCTGGAGGTGGTGGCGAGAGTGGGCGGAGGCCCTACTGGGCAGGGGTGGTGGTGGTGGTAAAGGACGGAGAGGGACGGTGAGGTCTGAAGGCAAGAGGTGGTGGTGCTGGTGAGACAGCGGGTCCGGGGGCAGGAGATGGTGGTGACTGTGGCAGGGCTGCAACGACTCCTTTTGTTCCAAGAACGGTAGGGGAGAGGAGGGAGGGGAGAAAGGATGGCTGATCGGGGTGATAGGGGCGGTAGGGAGAAGAGATCAATGGGAAGTCCCCGGTGGATGGGTGAGGGTGGGTGGATAGGAGCAGGTTTACAGAAAGCTTCAACAGAGACGAGGGCGGAACAGGTAATTTTCCCCGGGCGAAAGTGCCAGGACGCTGGGGCAGTTGGTATTCCGCATGAGATCGCTATGGGTTGACATACGCGAACATCTGGGATTTTGTTCTAATTTTCGATTGCACCCAGTGTCGCGCAGGACTAAACAGAAACCGTGAGGCGTACCATCCTCGCAGCACTCCCGCAGATGGGTTTCACGATTGGGCAACGACCATAGATTTTTGGGGGCTCTGATAAATCGGCCGAGAGGAAGCAGGAATTGGCCTACATTCACCTCGGGGGAGCGGACCCACCAGCCGATGGCGGAGGACGTTTGAGACCGCTGAGGGTGCCCATGTCCAGTAGTTGGGAGAAGGCGAAGATTGTCGATA